CTACACCTGACGAAACAATTAAATTATTTAACATAGTGTTACGTTCATATTGCCAGAGATCACACTCCCAGAGTATGTGATGGGCCGACTGCTCGTATCGCAACTCCTCTGTCGAACATTGGCACCATGGTGAATCAATAAGTTTAAATGAGAACAATTTGCCTTTAAAGTTGCCGTGGCCAGTAAGAAATTGGGCAACACAGTGATCCACCTCCAACCATGTCCTCTCCAGCCGCTCATGCACGGATGGAAAGAACTGGTAACACACTTGTAACGCCTCCGGTGTTCCGGGTGTCCATGGGCGGCGCCGATTACTTACCCATCAGGTGATGTGTCTGCTCGGTTACCAACTTATCCCATAAAAAAGTACAAAACGTACCACGCAATGCTTTTTTTCTGTGTCATAGGTATTTAGAAGCACATGATATCAGATACACATTGAATACTTACTTCAATAAAAGTAGGTATAGAGAGCGTAGTGTATGGACCAGCGTCTAATATCAGAGGATGGTTTAACTTGCCAGCCAATAGCAAGAGATGTTTGCGCAAATGCACATTGCTCTTCCACCAATCACTGCTGTAGATTCCTCTGTCAACTAACTTACTCTGTAATTATTAAAATATAAATGACTTAAACGAGTACTTTTCGGTACGGGTCTGACGGAAGAGAGACAATAATGTTCAAATATTCAAATACCGAACACGGCTAAATTTTAAGATGCGTTTAAGTATTTGCGCTGTTACTACAAATTCTTTGTAAAATAACAGAGATGGCACAATAATTAAATACAATTTAAAAATGAGTTATTTTTCAGAATTCGGGCGTAAATAATTTAGTTATAAACACATAACATCACTCCTTTTATCCCCGAAGGCGTAGGCAGAGGTGCACATTATGCCACTGTTCAATGTAACAACCACTTTTAACTATTTATGTTACGAGTCCCATGTAATAGAGGATGAGTTTATTGCCATATACCGGGCACAATTCCAGACTCCGTACTACTACTGATAATTTTTTTAAAACCCAGTAGTAGTTTGTCCGGCCTGGGAATCGAACCCGAGAGCCCTTGCCCGATCGCACTTGCGACGACTCGCCCAACGAGGCAGTTAATTATGAACAGAGTCTTAAAAAACTTACATTAAGGGTCACTTCATTGCTATGCCAACAGTACAAAAAGAGTTGCGAAATTAAACCAGACGTGTACTGAAAGACCCAAAGCTTTTGCGAGGCAGTAGCTTCTTTCTGAAAAAATGTTTTATGAAAAAAAAAACGCAACTTTTAAAATTAACTAATTCATTTAACAAAAGATGACAAAAATGAACCGAAAATAAAATCAGACCAGTCCAAAGTACCGAAAGGTTAACACTTTTTAATTATTTCAATCTTAAAGCCTCATAATTCCGACGCTAACTAATTAACGTCAAATAAATTACTCACGGAACTGAATTGCACCACGCTACCGCAAATTGTTATGGAGCACATTAGTACATAAACAAACATGGTAGGCGACAGCAGGGAATTGAAAACTGAAGAGTGTCTGTAACACAAATATGTAGCTTATTTAAACAGTATTTGGGTCCATTTAAATATGGTTCTTTAACCATTTGAAGATATTAGTGCAGATATAAAGTTTTATCATGAATTGTGTTTCAAAACTTGATTAAACTAATAAGACTAAATTAAAATGATCTAAATTTTAGCTAATGTAAAGCACCTTCTAAAACTTTTAATTTAGATAAAGAACCTGAACTCCAAAATTAGCTCTGTCGACATCCAATTAACGGGGTAAAGCACCTAAAACGGATCCATAAAAACTTATGAAGCACTTACTTCAATAAGACGTTATGATGTCTATGACATTCTTTGATCCTATCTAACACGTCTCGTGTCGAAGTTACATCATCAAATAGGCTGTTACATTTCTCCCTGAGTATGATCATCTGGCCTTTGAGATAAGACATGATAGCAACAGCGTTCATATCGTACACAGCTAGCACTCCAGAACCTTGACTTCCCATAACGATGTGTACAATTACGCTTATCAAATATCCAGGCATCCTTTCGTTATCAAACGGAAACCAAGAACACAGAATCTGTGGTAAAGGCTCAATCCCCAATCTTACCTCTTCTCGATAAGAATGCGATGATACATACTTCAATAAAGGAGTTAGTATTAGAAGGAAATTTGTTATAAATACCATAGTCCAAAACATGTATGTTATAATCCTAGTATACTTCGTGTAGTCTTCCATATGCTTTAGGATAATAGGATCTCCTTTCTTTATTTGTGTTAGATCTTCTTCAGAAATGTATTTAGCTAGCTTCCTCCATTCACTCTGCCAAAAAACATAAGAGAAACATTTTGCGAGACAAATAACACTGAGGATAGTTAGCGACATATTGTTCAAAACTTTATTAATATCGTGCCTGACAAAATAAAGATCGATAAATTGACTTATTACGAAAAATACTGTTGATAGATGTATCAAATTGTAAACGACTGTTCGAAATTTGCTCCCAGTTTGCCAGAGGCCAAATAAATACAATCCCTTCAATGTTGGACCCAATAAAGGATTATTGGAGTCCTCTAACCGCTTGGTATATTTTACGACTTTTTTTAAAAACATGATGCTTTGTGTGAGCTCTGAAAAGGTTAAAGCGTAAATGTGCTATAGTGAACTTTACAAGGGGTTAATTTCTTCAATTGTCCAATTAGCAAATCGGTTAGAAAGTTCAATTTCATTTTATTTCTTCGCACAAAGCCGTACTGTAAATTGTTCGCAAATTAACCCTTTTTGTTGGGTTCCGTCGTTATTTACAAAGTAAATATAATTTTTTAGACAGAATATCAAGTTTCCACCACTAAGTTTGACCTCTTTAACAAAATTAAATTATACTTAGGTAACCACTAGAATAAAAATTATACGCATATTTGGGTGTTCTTACATTTTTACTGTGATACTTTTTTTTTTTTATTTATTTATTTTATTTACACACATAACATACAAATATCCTTACAGGCTAGACCCAATTCGATATTGCAGCAAATATTAAAATAACAATAAGAAACACAATATACAAACAAGAAATATCCATATACTCTATAGAATAAGATATAAGCTTTTACTACATATAGCAAATCCTATGCATGGCTGCTCGTGTAATAGAGGTATATTGGGTTATACGGGTTATGTTTAAAAGTGTTAAGTTCAACTCCGATTGTAATTCTGTAAATGGTACTTATGATGCGTCTATTACAAAATTAATGACAAGAAAGCAGCTGAAAAGAAAACATTTAAAACATGTTGTGCATTTATTAATTGGGTACTTTCCTTAATAAAAAATAAATTATTTCGACTGTTCAATACAATAAAATATTTGAACTGATCAATAGAGCAAATAAAAAAAATACTTATTTTTGATGTTATTGCTGCTGCTATTACTGTTTAATGCTAAAAAACGTGACGTCACAATACACAATCTCGTACAAAATTCATAGAAAACTGTCATGTTTGACATTTCGAAAAAAGTATTGAATTTGAATAGTAGGCAAGTACCCAATTGTTTGAAGTTGATGTAATGTAATTCTTCGTCACGTCTCAGTCTAAAATATTTTAATTTACTTTGTCGTTTTCTCCTTCTATTTTTTAATTAGCATCCATTAAGTTTTCCAAACATAAAACAAAGTGCAAAAGATAGTTATTTTTCTTGCGATATTAACAAGCGTCCATTAAAATCCAGCTACTATGAGCTTTTGCTCCACCTCACACATTTTTCACTCCTTATTTACCAAGAGCGAAAGGTCAACAAAGAATTTGAAAGTAAAGTGTAAAAAATAAAACTTTTTATTGTACAATTAATGCAAAAACTTGAATGGATGTTTTATTAAGACATGACTTGTGTGATTCAATAGACTGTACGGTTGGTGCGGTGGTTGGGCAACCGGCTGCCACGCAACGTGTCGCGATTTCGATTCCCGCACGGAACAAGTCTTTGTGTGGTCCATAAATTGTATGTGAACTTATATTTTTGTAAAAGCATCCACGACACAGAAAAAAATCCTAGGCAAAGTTTTAAAAAAGAAAAAATATAAATTTTCATAAAATAGGTAAGTACCGAGATCATGATGAATATTAGCTGAACCGAGTAAATACATGCTACATGAGTTATTGTTTAGAATAATTTTATTATCGCTTTCGTTTATTTCTGTTCAATTTGAACTGTATTGCTGTAACTTCAAAACATAAGGTCTAAGAATCTGTTTAGAGCGGTAACGGGATCATCACTATCAACATTTTTTAATAAAATAATAAATATTAACACGAGTTGTCCCAGCACTCGATAGATGGCGTTGGGATCGAATTTGGTGGCGCTATGGTTTCGTTATCGAGATTTATATAAGGTACGGGGTAATATTTTGTATGATGTTAGCAGCAAGCATTGCGATTGATATACATACATACATACACACGTGACTAGTAGAGTAATTCAGTACAGTGTTATAATTTATCCACCCTCTCCCAAGTCGACCTTCGTTCAGATTCTGAACTATAGTGGATCAAAAAAGAAATGAGTAGGTATTTAAATTTTCTAACGTTTTATTGTGTTATAACATAACTATAATGATATCACTATAGCATTGGCCACTCGCCTTTATCACCTATAAAGCCACCTGTCCTTACTCGTCTCCTATTAAAAGTTTAAATACACTTTATTTCTCCACGTGACGTCATAAAATGGCGTCTGCTTGCGCAGCTTTCGAATTACTGAAAGACATGTTTCTTGATTCATTGGTGAAATAACCGAGCTCGTCGCATTATCAACTTTATGTGCGTGTGGCTTTAAGTACTATTTTTCCATTCTCCGATATTTTCACCGTTGTAAAAATGTTTGAATGCCTATTATTTTACACTGGAATGGTTTATTTTTGCCGTTACAAGTGAAAATTCAAATAGGTACATACGTATGAGATTTTGTTTTTAAAGAAATGTAATAATAAGACTGCCTCGTTGGCTGAGTAGTCGCAAGTGCGACTGGCCTCGGGTTTGATTCCCGGGTCGTGCTAAGTATTACTAGTTTGTTTTAAATCAGTAGTAGCACTAAGTCTGGAATTGTGCCTGATATATGATAATAGGCTCACCCCCTATTAAATGAGATTGATAACATAAATAGTGAAAAGTGGGTGTGCCATTCTACAGTTGCAGTACCGTAATGTGCACCTCTGCGTACCCCTTTGGGAATAAAAGGCGTAAGGTTATGTTATAATAAGTAAAAATAAGCAACGAGCAATTGGAATAATGACCATTAATACAATAGTTAAAAAAATAGTAGTTACTCCAAAAAGTCACAATCGTCAAAATATTCAATAAAGCATATACGGAACCGCTTATAATTTTTTTTACTGGAAAACAATTTTCTATATTAACCCTTAATTTGACTGTTAGGTCTCAATTCCACTTAAACGAGTTTATTAAAAATGTATGAAACATAGCCAGCTACTTAGGGATAAATTAACAGAAAAAAATTCACAATGCCTTTCTTCACACTTGAAAAAAAAAGTAAGTAGTTATAATTTCTTTTTTTAAACAAGAGGCAAACTGGCTGACGTATCACCTGATGGTAAGTGATCAGCGCTGCCCATGGACACCCGCAACACCAGAGGTGCCACAGGTGCGTTGCAGGCCTTTTAAAAAGGAATACGTTCTTTTCTTGAAGGTTTGAAGGTCGTATCGGTTCGGAAATACCGCCGCCAACAGATAATTCCACAGTTTTGCTGTGCGAGGCAGAAAGCTACGAAAATAAATATTAGAATGTACTTTTTTACTACAAACTCATAACAATGAAAATAGCAATATATTATTATTTAAGCATCTCAAGGCCTATCAAAATTGGGAAATTACGTATTAAGGCTTTCTCGTTTAAAAATGACGTTTTAATATTATTTCAAACCTATCAAAAACATTGCCTGCAGGTGATTTTGCACAAGTTTTATATTAAAATTCTTAAAACGATGCACAGTTTAATTAGTAATTTCGCAAACTTGACATGGGTCTTGCAAATTGGTTGTTAAAACTTCAGTAAGAGCTTTAATGGATATTGGGATCCCTCATTCCCTTGGCGTAGTTAATGTGATTAACATAACGACATTTCCTATTTGCCACTTCATTGAGTTGTCAAACACGGCTGCTGACCTTAGGGTGTTGGATTTATTTTTGGAAAAAATATTGGACT